AAACTCTAGATCCCACTCAAAAATCCCTATTCTTTTCTCGGGCAAGTATAGATGATATAGTGAAAAGGTTAACATCCTATCTCAAACTAAGCCTAGCAATATTTAATTCAGGAACATCAAGTGAGTTCCTTCCCTTCTTGGTGCTTACTAAGAGCATACTCAATGTCTTTGGGGCACCATAAGGATTCAAATGTATCTATCCTATATGTTACCTGAAGTGTAAAAATTTCCTGAAATCAAATTGGGTTCAAGCAGTTTGGATGTGAAGCCTATAAAAAGGAAAAAAAGCCAAGTAGCACAACAAATTAACAGCTGAGGATTCCCCCAGTACAACATATGAGAATTCATGAGCAAAGAAGACAAATGACTATAGCAAAGAGGAGAGAAACTATAGCGAAACCCGGGTACCACACCTTCATCCCAAAGCAAACAATATGACAAAATATGGTCGGGAAGATGTGCAACTCAATCATGATTGTTTAATACAGAGCATGATTATAACAACATTAAATTTTTTTGATATAAAGTGCATAGTTTAATACATGACAAGTCTCTGAGGGAGAACCTTACAGCTAAAATGTATTACTAGAAGCCAAAAAAAAAAAAAAAAAAAAAAAAAAAAATGATGATAATGTTTAGAAATAAGAAATAAGAATTGGGCACACACCTGCAACATATATGAGAAAATGTTAGAGTTAAGGCTGTCAGAAAAGCTCGTTGTCCGTGAACAGTTCGTGTTCAGTTCGTTAATGAGTTCGTGTTCGATTTGTTCGATAAGTAAATGAGACGAACATGAACAAATTTTTTTTTGTTCGGTTAGTTAAACGAACCAAACACGAACAATGATGCGTTCGTTCGCGTTCGAATCGTTATTGTTCGAAATAAAAAATAATTTAAAATAATTATATATAAAAAATTTATGATATTTTAAAAAATTATATTTTATAAATTATAATATATAATAAATTAATGATAATAGTATATTAATATACTATATTAGTAATATACTAATATGGATATTATATATTTATATAGTATAAGTTATATAATTAATATAATATATTATTTATATATATTAATATTAGGGATGTCAAACTGGCTCGTTGTTCGCGAACAGCTCGTGTTCGGCTCGTTCGTTAAGAAACGAACACGAACAATGACTTCACAAACAATTCCTAACACGAGCTTATTTCAAACAAACTAAATTTCAAATGAACCGAACACGAACACAAGTTCTGTTCGTTTGTGTTCGATTCATTTACACCCCTAGTTACATTCCATCCTACAACTTCCTTCGAAAAACAACATATACAACAAGAAAGTGAGAACCATGAGAGCAACAAAGTTAGCCCAAAATGCATATTTCACAAATTGTATAGCAAGTTACAATTTGACTTGGATTAATTTCAGTTGTAGCTCCAACAGACAAAATGCACATACCTAGTTCAATTAAGAAAAAACCTCCATAAGTAGGTTCGAATAAATAAAATAAAAATTATATTTCTCGATGTGTTTAATAAGGATGATTTATTAGATAATTAGTTTAGTAGCCAATTATTTGTCATAGAATGAGGCCTAGGATGATCATTTTTTACAAAACAGTAAGCAATGCCTCAATACTGACAAAAATGAGTATGTTAATGCCATTACCAATGGCGGAGCCAAAAAATTCGGAGTAGGGAACAAAATAACTTATTCAAAAATTCTCTCAACCTTTTTCATTCAGGCTTGGGACTGACAGTGACAATTTTAACTGAAATATTTATATGAGTATGATATTCAATTGTAGCATGATCGGATTGCCTTTGAAAAACAAAATTATTATGTTGGTTTTATTTCATCTAACTGCTTTGAGTCAATGCATTTCTCAATGAGATGAAAATCAAATGATTTCCTTAAGGCGTGGGGTTTTCTCTTTTTTTACTCTAGTAGGGTATTGTTAGGCTAGTTCAATTAACGAAAAGCCGCATTTCATATCTGCAGGGTGGGAGGAGGATTTACATATCCAACAATTAAAGTTAGACATTTACACTTTGGTATTATGAGCCTATGCATGAAAATGTGCATTTCAATGGATATGCTCTCATCTCACCCTTGGCTTATTGGGTTACCAGTTTTTGCATTCCTTCAAGATCCCTTTCTTGTAGTTCTTCATTTTTGTTGTTTCGTTCTTTACGAACTTCCATCACCATCTGATATCGCAAGATGGTATTAGAGCCATACAGGATTGTAGGTTCTGCTCTCCATTCTTGCTTGGAGAATTGCTACACCTGAGCATGGGAACAGGAGATCACAACATTGATGATCCAGTGAGTCCATACTACCTACACCATTCACATAGCCCAAGAATATCTCTGGTTTCCAGAACCGGTGACAACTATTGATCGCAATGACTATTACTCCATCGGAGAGAAATAAACTCGGATTTGTTAATGGCATTATCAGCAAACCAGAAGGTAATAACTTGAATCTCGTTAGTTCTTAGCCGTGTAATAATAATATTGTAGTTTCTTGGATAATCAATTCGAATTCTAAGGAAATCTCAGCCAATAGTTTATATAGCAAAACTGCACACATTATATGGAATTATCTTAGGGATTCCAACAAAACAATGGCCAAAAATATTTCAACTAGGTTACGTGATTAACCATAAGCAAGATGAAAACACTGGTACTACAGTACACAATCCTGAAAACACTTTCGAAAGAATTAACTAATTTTCTACCATCTTGCTTCTGTCGAAAAATGTAATTACAGGGACAAAAAAAACATCTTAATAAGCATTACCGTATAGCATACATCATGCTTTTTCATACAGGCTTAAATAATTTCTATGCCCAAATTCAAGGACTGATCATCCAAATCGATCCATTACCTTCTATAAATCGCGTGTTCTTCTTGTTTTCCCAAGAGAAATAATAACGATCTGTCGGATAGTCGATAACAGGCAGTGAGAGACTGAATGGGGTGGCATTTGCTGTCAAAGGAAATAATAAGGCCATAAGTCCTTCAAATTTTAATCCCAAGAACTCCAAAACCCAAATGAGAGATCGTTCATTATGTACTCATTGTAATTGCAGCGAACAAACAAGAAATACATTGTCATAAATTACATGGCTACCCAACGGGATACAAGTAGCGGCAATCAAGAATAAAAAACTACCAACCAATCAACTTTCAACTGATGTAGCAACACATCAAAAGAGGAAACAAGCCCGTTATGCAGCTTGGACAAAAAGCAATGGAAGGAACTGATGCAAATGTTTCCAGAATACTTACTCTCCACAGGAATATGTAGTAAATCATCCGAGAACTTCGCAGATATGTATTTTTCTTTTTCATTGCATACTCAATTCAAATCTGCCATTCACTAGATAATGGATTTCGGAGCTTCATGCCATATTTGTTCAAATTTTGATCTGTTTACAAGCACTAAACATGCAGAGTAATACTGTTAGATTACCCATTCATAATAATATATCAGTTAATCTATACGGAGATAATACTTAATCAAGTATTAATCCTACATTATGTATTATTTATTCCCCTTCTTTGTTTTGACCTGATATCTGTGAGCTCTCCTGTAACAAATATTTGCCCGATGGTAACTTTCTCTCAAAATCAATTTGCCAATTGGAAAATCAAATGCAGATTTACATGAATGTATTCCACAACAATCTAATGCAGGCTTACAGGAAAATATTCAACAACACACACACACACACAGATATATATATATATTATATATATATATATATATATATACATACATACATACATATATTTGCATAACTTGTTTTTTTAGCACATGGTTTCGTTTAGGTTTACTTTTCCATTATGCAGAATCATTTTCCATTTCTTTTCTTATTCTGTTAGTGGTGGTCCCTGAGAGAACAAATATATATAGGTGTAATATTGATTAAGAAAAACATGAAATAGACTGCAACATTTGATTTTCTTTTTCCCTGTTTCCTTCTTTTTGTCTTTCCTAAAGCGGGTACAAAACACCAAATTGGCACCAGAGAATTGAATACAGTTTGGTCCTTGTTACAAGCAGTGAATCTGACATATAAAGTTGAATTGCAACTCAACAAACACACAGAGAGTAATTCGTTAAGAAGGTTAGCATTTGAACCGTATGAATCTAGTAATCAGAATGCTAGTTCGACACTGAAGCCGAGGTCTCTTCAATCCCAATCAGCACCTAAATCCATGCTAGTAGCAGTAAAAAAGGCTTCCATTAAGGGTAAAATGATGGTGAAAGAGAATCGATACTCCAAACCTTCCAATTTAAAATGCATTCGTTGTTTTCAACCCGCACATAAATCGAATGAATGTCCAATTCGGCAGCAAATTCAGCTCATAGAAGGTGAGCTGACGATGAATTGCAAGACAATGACTCGGATGGAGGTGAAGCTGAAATTGAAGAGGTAGTTGGAGATGAAGGGGAAGCCCTTGTATGCGTCATTGAGAAGTCACTTCTAGCACCATGACAGTCCATGGTTTCCCAACGACATGCTATATTTCGAACTAGATGTCCCATTAAAGGAAAGGTATATGATTTGATCATTGATAGTGGATGTCTTAGCTGATGTACAAGCATTACAACTTAAAACTACAGGTGCGTTTGTTTCAGTTGCAGCTGTAGAAAAGCTAGTTTCAGAAGCCGCTGTTGAAAATCTGCTGTTAAAAAGTTGGTGTTTAAGAAGCTATTGTTTGCCTGAAAAACACAGTTCTGTAAGCACTGTTTGTTGACATAATGATCGTAATGCTGTCAGTATAGAAACACGTTTTTGTTTAAACTGTTTGGAAATCACAGTTTTGAAAGTGCTGCATCTGAGCAAATATATTCACAATATATCGTGTTTATTTCACTAAGAACAACAATAATAAAGCAAATAAATATCGACATTGACAAAATCACAAGGAATCATCAAATTTTACCTTCCAACATTAACACAATCAGTAGAAATTGTGGTACATTACATGATCCAGAAAAAAAAAGTTTTCTTACAAGATAGAAGCTTGATACAGTGGAGTTTGTTATCAAGAATACAAGTACATAATCAAAATAGATACACCGCTAAACAACGACAAAAGCATTGCTACAATCACAAAATTGAACAAAACTAAATTCTTCACAAGAAACTTCAAGTCACTAACATCATTTTTTAACGTGTCATCAACTGCATATATTCTCTCGTCAGCTTGCTCCTGTGGTGCATCTCTAGGTTCATTAACCCACTGGAAGAATTTGCAATCTCTATTTATTAAATTCTTTGGACACCTATAAAATTTTCATCCTACATTGTCTCCTTTTTGAGCGGTGAAAATGACACATAATAGATTGCAATCACAGAAAATCGGTCGGTGTTCGCTCCCCCTGGCGCTTGTTGAAGTGCTTGAGCTCATTTTCGATAGAACAATCCTGTACAAAGATAAATAGCATGGAAATAGCGAATTTTGTTGCATAAAAAAAAATTGTTAATCCTTAATGAAGGAAAATCTTGGTTGCTAGTAGACCCTAAATGCATATAAAGACGACCATCCGGAAGAGTCCCTTGGGTCAAATGGCTCATCATAACCAAAGAAACTCAAAACATGGAAAGCAACAAAGAAATACTCTGTTAAAAAAACCAAGATAACCACTTCATAAAAGACGAAAGAAAACAATACCGGTAACAGGGCTTCAATAACAAGGAAACATAAGAAGAAACTCAAAATGAAAAACATATTGACCTCAGTATTTACCTCATGAAAAGTCATTAAAATACATTCCAAATAATGTAAATATTTTAGCACTAAAAACATTTATAATTATGGTTGAATTTTATTGCAATGGTTAGAAATCTGAGAAAATCAACACAAAGCCGAAATAACATGAAAAACAATTGGTATAAAACACCCAAAATTAGATCACAAACTTGTAAAATATATCAGAGATATAAAAAAACAACATGACTGCAAATAATAGAGACACCACAACTGTAAACAGCTGCTCACCACCGAATTACAAGGAGAACCATAATTCAAATAACAGTTCAAATAGCAAGAACGAACAATAGCAAGATCAAACAATACAGTTCTGAATATTTAGTTCAAACAGCAAGTTCAAATAGCAAGACCAAACAATACCGTTATATGGAGAACCATAATTATCACCGAAATTACTTTCATTATATCTATTGCCAACCATCATCAATAAGAAAACAGTTGCGTGTCTTTCATATTCCAGCATTGCAAAGCAAACCTGAAGCAACCACATTGCAAATATATTGTGATATATAATTAGATAAGTTCAAAGTAAAAACTCGAATCATTTCTTCTATCTTACAAAAATATCAACAGGCTTTTTCCATACCACCATAATTACTGCCAAACAAAACCAGTGTTCATAAAATCCCCATAATTCCAGGGGCACAACATTGAATGTGCCACCCTATAGAAACCCTCACTTCCGAGAGATATCAGACATAAATTAATACAAGAAATGTGCTCAAACGACATTATTAGAGAAAGCAAAAGCACATTTTTTGAGTCGTCATAATAAGGTATTGCAGGTATTGCCACCAATTTATACAAAAAAAAAAAAATCTCATTTGTAAACACAACAGAAGAAATGAACCTTCTCATTTGTAAACACAACAGAATTTGTAAACACAACAGAAGAAATGAACCTCATTTGAATGAATCATTGCCGAGCAAACACAACAAGTATTGCCACCAGCAGGTATTGAAATTAAAAAACAGACCTCATAATGCTCATTTGAAAGCCCAGCAGAAAAAATAAACCAATGCCGAGCATATACAAACTGAATGGTGTTGAAATAAAACAGCGAATAAATCTCTTTTGAAGCACAGCTCATAAATCTCAAGTTTAAGGTGTTATATATGTAAATACATACGAATTGAGTGGTACGCATGCCAATCTTTCTTTAAATCAATGCCATAGAAAAGAACATAATTCTCATTTGAAACCACAACAAGTATTGCCACCAGCTCATATAAGAAAAAATCTCATTTGAAACCACAACTGAAGAAAGTGTCGTAGAAAAGAAGAGCATAAATCTCATTTGAATAAACTAATGCCTAGCAAATACAAATTGAAGTTCAAGGTGTTATTGATGTAAATCATTGTAACTTATGTACGCAGAAGAAAGCATTGCAGGAATTGTCACCACAGCAGAAGAAAGTACTGCAGAAAAGGACATTGTAACTTATATATGAACTGCATCATACAACATTGCAGTTATTGCCACCAACTTGTAGAGAAAAAATCTCATTTGAAACTACCGCATTATATAACATTGCAGTCATTGCATGCCAATCTTTATTTAAAATCAGTGCACGTTTTCATAAACAAATACCATTATTAATAAATCATTGCCAGTACCCGAAGCAAGGCCCAAGCTAGCATAAAATAACAACAAAGACGAGCCACCCTGAATCGAAACCCATGCCAATCAAATCCCTTCCAATAGAGTAATGCCAAGAACATACAAATAAGGCCATCTAGGAACTATAAGGTTAACTCCTTGCAATAGAGCAATGCCAATCGGTTTTCATATATCAGTTCTACGACATGTTTAAAAAAGGGGGGCTTTACATACATACCACACAAATCGTATGCATTTCCATTTCTAAAACCTATACTTCAATATTTATATATCATATATAACACTAAAATTTTCACAACCACATAAAAAAGATCACTACACATGTAAACCGCTGTTCAACAATTGTGAAATTCACCTATTCCTGCCTAGGCAATGAGGTACGTATGTATATCTTCCTAATTAGAAATCTGGCTAAACAAGGATGAAAGGACATTGAGAGAAATTCCTGAATCGCATAGAATAGGAAACAATAGCATTAAACTCTTTAGTTTTGAAGTAGAACCCATTATAAAATAGCATTAAACTCTTAACACCATAGATCCATTATAAAACAGCATATTAAACATTTCTTCAAATAATGCCATTGCTTCAACCAAAAAGCATTGCCACAAAGTTTCAGCAGGGATCATTTAAGAAAGGATTGTATGAATGTGCCTCTTGACATTAGAGGAGGACTTCTGAGAGTTATCCAAAATAATCAAGCATACAATATGAAATCAAGAATTGACCAAAGCATCAATGATATGGTCTGCACCTTCTCCATCACCAACGTTGGTATTGATGATCTCCTCATCTGTATCCATCATCGATTCGCCCAAGTGATACTCATAAGCTTCCGATGGCACTAATGCATTATCATCGACACTTGTGAAGTCAATGTCGAAATGCTAAGGATGATGTTGTATGTAATTATGAAGTGTTATTGTTGCGGCGACAATTCTAACATGTTTCTCGAACAAATATGCTTTCAAGTCACTTAGAATAACCCATTTTTTTCTTTCAAACTCCGAAAGCCCTCTTGAGCAATTCTCATAGTGACAAACTATGCTTATTAAATATTTCTTTTTGTCCCTACACTACTTGACTAGCTCTTTCAAGTCTAAAATGTGATATTTTGTTGGAAAATGGTTTAAAAATCTTAGTTGCAGTGAATATCCGACATCCACTACATAGTATTTACCTAATACGACAATGAACCATGAGTTACTATGTGAAACGTTAAAAGAAAGTTTAAGGAATTATCTAACCTAGAGGCGACAGGGAAAAGTTATGCATACGGGATTGTGTCGTGAACTTATAAATTCTACTATAATGAGCAGTACCTTCACAACTAGACATGTCAAAAGTAAAACACATATTGACGTCGCATACTGCCATTACATTATGTGTAGGTGAACCATAATGTCTAATATATGCGACATTTTCTACATTTGACACACGTGCATAAACATGTGTGCCATCAATTACACAATACAATCCTATATGAAATGGTAATAGTTTTAAATTTGAATATTTTTTAACTTTCAATAGGTAAAAAAAATATTACCATATAACTAGAAGCATGACATATCTCTGATCGCAAGATATTTTTGTAGGAATATTTCAGAAAGTTGAGTCTACAGGCTTGATAATTCCGGAAGGCATAGTTATCATAGCATTCAAACCAATAGAGAAATATCTACTTACGATTTCGGTTGAATAGTGAAATCTCTAACATGCTGACCTTATCAATTTATTGCGAGATAAAATGTAAAGTTTTATGGTCAATACCTCCTTTGCAGTCATTTCGGATGAGCCAATGAGACCACAACTATCATGCAATTCATTCAACAGATCAATAAATATTACTTGGCACATACGGAACATGTTATGGAATATGCTAGAATGCCCCCAAAAAGTTCATTGACCCATTTGTCCCCAGTAAATGTTAATGTCATACATGGCATGTGAGAAATGGATGATTCATAGTACGCAATGAGTACCCACATAGCTGTCGGCCGTTTTTTATGTTCAACTTGACTTTC